AAAAAAAAAAGACAACATTTTGTAGAATGATACTCGTTTTTGTTTTGTAAATGTTAACAAAGTTTAACATCTGAGTCGTTATTATGTATTGTACATTGCAGAAATGCGATACCGTTTCACAATTTTTTTCATGTTACGGTATCTGTTCTCTATGAAAAATGAACAAAACACAACACACTTTACATAGCTTATTGAAAAGCAAATCACTAGATGCAACCATCGTGTCTCCACAAATTAGGATATAATTAAACAATGTGGGTGCAGTTATCTCAATGACATTAACAAATGATACATTTCAATATAAAACATAATTTTATGTTTATTCATTTCTATAGACCATTTGCACAGTTTGTCTAACTTTCATTCGCATGAATTTACCATATCCAATGGGTGCTCTTAAATGGATAATAGAACAAAAACTATGCAACATAAAGACATAGAAAAAGGATGGCTTTGTTAATGGAATGGGCTGTCTCAGGGGAAGGTAATCTACGGACTCTAATAAAGCGTCAAAACCTATAAATTGCAAAATGTTTTATTTACTTACCTCCTTTTATTAGTTCCCAATATACGGACTTTCTAATTAAATAATTAAAAATAATAGCACAATGAAAGTAAATTACAAACTTCCTGCTTTCTGTTCTAACGTATTAATCTTTCCAATATTTCATCTGCATATTTTCCTCAGATTATGGTATAAGTTGCTGTAGTGACATATGATAATATTGAAAGAATAAAAATTAATTATGTATGTCATATACAGAAGAAACTACTACTTTTAAATTTGTTAAATCCTACAAAAACATATTAATTACATTACACATTAATCTTATATTTTCTTCAATATTACTACAATTAGAATAATTACTTTGGAACTATAATAATTAATATAATAATTACTATAAACTATAACTAACTCTTCATCTTCTTCTCAAACATGCTTTTTGTTAGATGTTCTTTCATAACGTACGGTCTTCCAAACTTTGCCTACAAAAGATAATAACATTAATAGATCCATTGAGTTGTATCGTGTATATTAAAATATAAAACGATATTCAGAACACTTCTGAATCCTAAAAAATTTATGAAAAGAATTGAAGTAAGTGGTATTAAGTTACCAGTTCAATGGGATGTAACTTCCGAATAAAATGTTTATTTTTATTGATTGTACGGTATCTTCGGTAGTCACCCATCACGTGTGTATGAAATATTATAATCGCTAGGAATAGTATATTTTGAGGAGTTATTACCCGGATCATTTTTTGATTTTGTATGAAATTAACCTGTGCAACTGTTACACTAAAACGTAATGGTGATATCCAAAGTTAGTGACACTAGTGCTGCCACATCAATGGGTTTGTGTACTATATTTTTCATAGAACGATTTTGATTGGTTGAATTATTGTTCATGTTCGCAATTTGTTTTTTTGTAAAGAAAATGATTTATGTCAAAGAAATAAAATAAAACGCTTAGTCAAAGGCAGCTTATAAAATTTGACTGTTTAAAACACCCAATGATGAAACACATAATATTGCACTTTGTAATTTAGTAATCTATTAACAAAAGGCTCCATCGTTACTGATAATTAAACGCAATTGAAAAATACAACTGAAAAAAATACACTTCTACAAATAAATTTACGAACTAAGTCAAAGTAAAAAAGTAACGATAAATTACTCTTTATTTAATAATACGTTCTTCTGTTTTAAATATAATAAATGCTACGTAAGTACAGTATATTAGACTTATAAATTAAAATATATTAAATAACTGAATTAATATACTAGATTTACTCATATGGTTAGTTACTCATATGTAAAGTTACAGAAACTGAAATCAGATGGCAGCAGTAGTACCCAAAGAATCAGACGGTATGAAGGAGCAATGTTAGTCGATCGTTGGCTGCGACCGCAGGAGGACGGTAGGCTCGACAGTCGCACGCTATCTGAGTACAAATCGGGATTGGTTGACTGTTCTCCCGTAAGCCCCACCTACCAGGTGGTCGTACGAAAGTGTAGTTGTGTAGTTCCTTACGGCGAAACGACGGGCGCTGCGCTCTCTCCTCACGTATCCAATCGCGAGAAAATCTGAAATGAGACGTATCGGTGCGCTAATATGTGACGGTTGAGAGAAAACGAGGACCAGGAACGTGTGAGAGGGTGGTTTACGCGCGGGTGCTACCACTTTCGAAGCGTGACGAGAAAACGAACCGCGTTAAAGAAGTGGCAAAGGTGGAGAGCGTGAAAAAAGATACGCGTCGAGAAACGAGAGAAAATACGCGTGTGTGCCAGAGCTACGGTGCGAGAGAATCCTCTAATTCGGGGGGGGGTTGTATGTCTTTCTCTCTCTCTGTCTCTTTTCCTCTTTCTGTGTCTCTCTACCTTCAGTTTTTTCCTCTTTCTTTCTGTTTCTCTCCGTCTTTACTCGATTTACACAGAGTGAAAGTATCGTTGCGGCAAGTGTTTTCTCACCGCATAGTATGCGCCGTTTTGTATCGCGGGCTAACAAGTAAAGGTAAAAAAGTGCTTCGTTTAACCAACAAGGACGTCAGCTGTGTGCGCTTTTACGAGGGGGACGTGTGCGAGAGAGAACCCACTGTTGAGAGACAGAGAAATGGCGGCGCTGGTGGCAGGTGTCCAGTATGGTTTGTCGTCGCACAGTAATTTTCACGAAAACAAGTCCCTAATCTTCGTGAAACTCACCGACTCGGCGCAACGTGCCATCGAGGACTTCCTCAGAAATCGGGTAAGTAAATCGTACTCTTTTATTTCGAGTTATTCTTCGCGATTTCTTTTCCTCCTGTATAGGCTAGAATTGCGATCGCTTGCACACCGCGTATATGTATGCTGCACACTACCCGTGTGCGTTCATGTGTCGCGTTGCGCTCACTCCGTGTGTATGAATCTGTGTGTGTATATACGCGCCTCTGCACGTCGTCGTCACGAAGCAGTCGTGTGTGCGTACATGTGTCGTAATGTGCCAAGGAAAGAGACACTCGATCGTCACTCGCTCGCCATATTTCGTATGGAATTTCGTTACTACGGCCACCAAAGATTTGTCGTATTTTACTTGCAGAAAGTACCATCCACGATTATTATTCGAGCTCATAAGTGTTACGGCATCGGTGAAAACAGTAGAAAAAGATAATAGTAGTCTAGAGTACGGGGCCACGTTGGCTCGTTAGCAGCTGGATACTGCTCCACGTTTTTTCCCCTATAGCTCACGAACGGTTGGCAGAAAAATCGAATACGATTCAGTTTAAAACGATTACGAGTACCCTTTTCGCCGAATTAATTCGCTCCGCTACATCGTTACGATATATCCGTATGGTTTGACAACGACATTACGTAATAAAAGGACTGACAAAGCAGTTCACTTGTTAGATTTACTTCTAGATTACGTA